CACATGCTGGCAGCGTAAGACATGAAGCTGAAAACTCTATTCTAATATTTAACATCGAGTTGATAGCTATTTGTTATCCCAAATAGTTCACGTATCTCTGTTGATGTGTATGGGTGTTAGATAACTTTTCTTATGTTTCATATATATATTTTTAGATTGTGAGAACCTAGTGAAGTCATCCGCCTCGAATGTCTGGTACTCTCTGCAGTGAGAGTTATTATCAAATTTCTTTCATTATTTGAGAATGACTTGATGTTTTTTGTCCGTTATCTCACGTATATTAACTAGGTAGCGGTGGACACGTCACCAGCGGACATTTCTTCCTGATTTTATTGATTCACATTTTTTTTAAAACGTGGGGATTGGTTGAGGTCTTTTCATTTCTATTTCCATTCTCTTAGTGAGATGAAGTGCATTTCAGAGCGGGCCATTTTCAGTGTATTTGGAATTTTCCTATTACTTTTCTTACTTGGCAGTTATAGCGAAGACAATTCCTCAGACTCGTATAGAGAAAGAGCTTACACCTAAGCCTCGTTTTCCTCATCCGACGTTATCGTGCCCCACCTGCTGCTGTCAACGTTTTCCTTGGTCGCCTGCAACGTTCCATCCGGCACACCTGTTCGCCGCCTTCCCCTCCGTCCGCAGCCTTCCGCCTCCTTTGCCGCCGTTCCCTTCCATCTCTGCTTTCCCCTTCCTACGCCGCTTTCCCCCTCCTTCACCACCTTCCCCTTCCTTCCTACATCTTTTCCATTCTGTGTATTTTTTTTAAAATGCACCTCATACTTTTAAACTGTTCCTTAATTAAACCAGCTATCGAGATTATACTCACTGAGTCTGCTTACTAGAGATTGAGAAATTAACACATGTTATTCGTTTTCCGGCAGGTATGTGATGTTTTCCCCTTATTGGCAGTTGAGGGGAAACGGGAGAGAAGGGGAAACGGAAAGGGGGAAATAAAGGAAGAGAGAATGAAGGATTGGCTGTGAAAGGTAAGTTCTATTTCCAGTTGTTCGTTACTTTCGCATTCTTCTTCTCCAGTTTCTTTACGGTAATAGAATAAGACAGAGAAAAGAATACCGAGTGAGTAAGAGAATGAGCACGTGAGAGAATGAATGAGTGAGTGAGACAGTGAGTGGTTGAGTACATGCGTGAGTGAGCGAGCAAGCGAGTGAGTACAATGAGTGGACGAGTGAATAAACGAGTGCGCGTCCGAAGCGAAGACGCCGCGGAACCCATAATGCCCCCCTCTCCCCTCCTGTTGTCTTCGTGGCGTCGTCGCTCGCGAGCCATACGCGCGTCACGGCACTCCGCATTCTCCGCGGGCGACCGGAATGCGAAGTGCCTGTATTAAGGCGTTCGCTCGCCCCTTCATCGCCGTCGCCGATTTACCGTGCTGTGCGCGCGGCGAGTGGGGGGGGGGGGGGGTCGACAACGCTGCTCTTGTT